CATCCCATAAGATGTGCATGCTTAAACAATGCCGTGTAGACGCCTTAAACAATGCCTCTAGAAGCGTAGCCCATAGACATGGTCAACCCAAGAATGTCATGATGCCATGGCGCATTTCTGCATGTCGTATTTATAATATCTAGGCTTTTTAATGTTCTTCTCAAGTACACCACATCACTCTGTGACATCCAGCAGAGATTTGAAAACCATGGCGCCGCTATCAGCGTTCAGGTAAGACCGTTATGCGCTATAGGTGCTTCCAGCATGTTTGCGTCATGAGGACGCCGTTTTTTCAAGTTGTCATCTTCAGCTAAGACATAGACTATCCCCAATGAATTTGCCGTTTGGCAGTGGGTGGTTTTCTCAGTTCATCTCAGGGATGTTGAATGGCAGAATAGCTTGTAGCCCGTCAGTGACTGGTAGCACAGTGGCGCGTACCCTACCTGTTGTCTGACGCAAACTAGGGACGTACCCGTCCATTATCCCTTACTGGGACCACGACAAGCGGAGCGTCTTCTCCCCTTTCGTCGTGCCCGTATGAGGCGCTGTCGCGTCGCTTTCCTCCAAGGCACGCATTGTACAAAACAGAACCAATCGCTTTCCTTTGAGGTTAGACCGAGCTGTTGCGTGATCTGTCATTACCAGTCCAGAAAGGATCTGATCTGTCCCCCGAGTCGGTCCAAGCCAGAGCGCAATCTCTCTCCCCCGAGTCCGTCCAAGCCAGAGCACAATCTCTCTCTCCCAAGTCCGGCCAGGCAGGGCGTGATCTCTCTCCCCCGAATCCGGCCAGGCTCGGGCGCGATCTCTCTCCACGAGTCCGGCCAGGCTCGGGCGCGATCTCTCTCCCGAGTCTGGCCAGGCTCGGGCGCGATCTCTCTCCCCCGAGTCTGGCCAGGCCGAGGTGCGATCTCTCTCCACGAGTCCGGGCAGACCAGGGTGCGATCTTTCTCCCCGAGTCCGGCCAGGCTCGGGCGTGATCTCGGCCGTCTCTGATGGTTTCCCGGCCCGTGATGGATGATGGTCGCGCGCACAGCAGCCGGCGCCTGCATTCCTGGCTCGGGCCGCCCGTGCGAACCGGACCTGACCGGGCCGGACACGCCGTTGCCAGTCGGACCGGCAGCGCCATCTGCGCGCTGGCGGTCCCGCCGAGCTGGCCTGCTGAGAGCAGGTGTCCCCAACCTGCAGAACTCCCTCCGACGTGAAAAAGGAGGGTCTCGGAGACGGGTGAGATGCAGTTGCAATCTTGCCGAATCGTTTCTGAGTTGAGACTGAAAACCACTCAGGCTGCGTCAACGGGCAGGCAGCACTGCAAGATGTTGTCACAAGCACTACCGTGCACCACATGTCCTGTGTCTGATGTCTGCTATAGTGGCCCAAGACGAACGGTGTTTCCCCTAACACGGGACGTTCAGGAACGAGCTAAGTAGCAAAAGTTCAATTATGTGGTTGTACTGTGTTGTCCGAATGCACTTGCCGTGTAAAATATCGACATGGGCTTATCAGCCACTCATATGGTCCTGTTCACCTTAAAGGTCCTGTTCACCCCAAAAGATGAGAATGCACCCAACTCTTACATGGTCCTGTTAACCCTAAAGGCTCAGAACACGCCCAACGCTTGTTGCTTGAGTTTGTTGTTTGCTTCGAAAAAGAACATAGTTCGTTACATCCAAAGGGGGAAGTGGCTCTAAAGTTTTGCGCAAAATACGGATTTAGAAGGCACCGGGTCCGCTCAAGCCTGCTCTGCGCCCTGCTGAGGCGCAAGCCTGTCAAGTCAAGCCTGCTCTGCGCCCGTGGTCTGAAAAAAGGAACAGTTGGACTGCGCTTTTGGAGATCAGGATATTTGATAGAGACATGGCTCGTTTTCCTAATGGGCGTATTCCCCCACGTACGATTCTCAGTAAGGACGACTTGGACAATGTACATGTTTACATGGACATGGACGTGCAGCCGCCCTGCAGGGACGGCCAGACCGGGACAGTCGCCCTGCAGGGACGGCCAGACCGGGACAGTCGCCCTGCATGGAGGGACAGACAGGGACAGACGCCCTGCAGGGACGGCCAGACCGGGACAGCCGCCCTGCAGGACGGCCAGACCGGGACAGTCGCCCTGCAGGGACGGCCAGACCGGGACAGTCGCCCTGCAGGGACGGCCAGACCGGGACAGTCGCCCTGCAGGGACGGCCAGACAGGGACAGACGCCCTGCAGGGACGGCCAGACAGGGACAGCCGCCCTGTGGGGACGGCCAGACAGGGACAGCCGCCCTGCAGGGACGGCCAGACCGGGACAGTCGCCCTGTGGGGACGGCCAGACAGGGACAGCCGCCTTTCATCGGTCGGCCACGGTGCAGCGGTCAAGGCCGGCTGAAGCCAATGGTGTCGGGTGCCGGCAGCCAACCGCCCACTGGTGCGAAGACCCGGTCACACCCTCGATCTATTTGTCTTTATTTCAACTCTCCGTTGCCTGTCAGATGGAAGGTTTAGTCACCTGCCATCACGTTTCAACACCTTTGGGCTCACAGGAGGAGATCAAAGCGCGTGCTGAGGTGACGGCGGCTATATGGTTAGGTGCTGCCGCTCTCAACACAAAGGTGAAGATCTTGTATGTCTATCAATAATCCGGGCTGTCCTAAAATTGTGGGCCCCTACCGAGGGTTGACCATTGACTAGTGTAATCTGAAGGTCAATCAGAAGTCAATTCTGTATGTGCTGAAAGGCGTTTAAAACGTTGGATATATTGGTGGATGCTTATATATAAGGCGTTGGTTTTTGACGCACTTGGATGGGTCAGTTCCAGACAAATATCATGCAATGACACAACAGTAGTTTGAATCACAGACGTCGTTGAATTGTTATGTACTCTCTCGACTGGCGGTGAGTCTTACAAGTTCAACTGTTTTCTTGTTGGTTTTTATCGCCGAGCACATCACATCAGTAACGTACGGTCAAACTGCGTCAGGCTTCCGGGCCTTCACTGCTGGTTGAGGAGCCTTTCGGGCCTTCATTGCTGGTCGATGAGCCTTCCGAGCCTTCATTGCTGGTCGGCGAGCCTTCCGGGCCTTCATTGCTGGTCGGTGAGCCTTCCGGGCCTTCATTGCTGGTCGGCGAGCCTTCCAGGCCTTCATTGCTGGTCGGCGAGCCTTCCGGGCCTTCACTGCTGGTCAGCGGCGTTTGATCTGCGACAGGAGAGTGAGCTCCTCACATCGCTCTGAACTGTGTTCAATATGATTATGTGTTAACACGGCTGATTAATCATGCGTTGAAGGCCGCTCATTTGCACCGGAGTAGCAGGGCTAGTAGACATTAGTGCAGGCTTTAATATACAAGTTCGTTAGTTCGTTCGTGAAATCCCGTCGGTAGTCATTATCTCAGTAATCTTCCTCGGAGCCTTGACGCCTTAAATTAGCTTGGGTCCTTTTAAGGCACGCTGAAGTTTTCCATTTACCTTTGGTGACAAAAACCAACCGTAAATCACCCGTCTAACTTGGCAAAGAACGTTGATGGTGTTTGTGTGATCCCCATTTCCTCATAAAAACAAGATAATCATCTCATTATGCCCGTTCTGAAGGCGCTTTCTATAACGCATGCGTGAAACTGAGCGATGATTTTGACCACAGGTGTGACTTGCGACGGGCTGCGTGCGCGCTGTGGCGCGACTGTGGCCGGCCGGCCGCCGCCGGTGCTCGGTGCTGCTCGGTACAGGCCGGGGTGGGACGCGTCCTTCTGCGAGTGATGTTCGACGTCGCAGGGCTCGTTGGCTCGCCGCAGGGCAGCCGCCTCCGCAAACGGTGCTGCTGCCAAATGCAGCCGCCGGGCCGTCTGTTCGGCGGAATTGTACCGGCCACGGCAGCGGGGGGAAGTGGGATGGTGCTGCGGCTGCTGGTCGACGGTGGCGCCGCCAGGCGGATGGCAGGCGGCGCCACTGGTGGGGCTGAGCTGTCTGGCACTGCTGGTCGGGACTCCGGCGCCGCGAGCATTGGACTGTGCACGGCACGCATTCGGTTTTTGGAGAAGCAAGCGAGGCGCATGGCAAAGAAACATGTTGAGGTTTCATCGGGTTGTCAAGGCTGGACTAGCAAATGGTATAATTCGAAATGAATGGGCCGAACTTAGAAATGCGCAAGTGCTGGCCGTGCCAGCTTGGTGGATAACGTCGGCGTCAATTTTTGCATGCAACGCTTGGTGCCGACCAATGCCGATGTTTCTGACCGCAATTTTTCTGATACACACAGCAAGATGGTGCAGCACAGACTGCACAACACAACATGAGGCTCCCATGATAAAGCATTTCATCATATAACAGCAGGCCTTTACGTAAAGACGCTTTACTGTGTCCTCAGCACCATGATACCTTTTTAGGCTTCATCCCAACCCGGCGACAAAAATATTCTTTGATTTGTAGTTGGTCCCTTGATTCGGTGAGATTGGCATCAAATCAATGCATTTCCTATGTCATGGTCCGATGATGATAATCAGTGCATAGTCCGATGATAATAAACAGTGCATGGTCCGATGATGGGCATCACCTTGTCCTCACTACATGTCAGCTGTAGGGTGCTCTTACAGCTTGCTCTGTACATTGCTAGTACACACAGGTAGCAGTCTGAGCCAACCACACGTGCATTAGAGAAGACCGGTTGTGCATCGACGTTTCTCAAACATTTCTGTTTTCTCGACCATTTCCTGGTGTAACGAATGCGCCGGAAATTTTGGGAGATTTTTACATCTCCATTTATCCCTGCGTGCCAGGGAAACCCGGTGCCTTCCTAGCCACGCTTGAGTCGCCACAATGCATGTACTCTGTGTAGCTGCAATTGTCTGTGGTTGCACACCACGCTTTTCTTTTGAGATGCGCTTCACCATTCGCCGCTCTTGCGCTGTTGCCACGTTTTCGGAGTTGACGGCCTTTTGAAATTCGGGTGGTTGGTTAAATGGTATGACCATCACTGTCTGTTCCTATTTCACCCTCGGTGTGCTCAGACGTGCGTCCTGGCTCTGTTTCAGCCGGAGAACGTGATGCTTTTGACCAGGAACCACACGCAGATTAAGCTGATCGACTTCGGCCTGAGTCGGCGGATGGAGCCAGGCGACGAACAGCGACACATGCTCGGTAAGGCTAGGTCTGGTAAGGTGCTCACATGCTCGGTAAGGCTAGGTCTGGTAAGGTGCTCACATGCTCGATAAGGATAGGTCTGGTGACATGCTCACATGCTCAGTAAGACTAGGTCTGGTAAGGTGCTCACATGCTCGGTAAGGCCAGGTCTGGTAAGGTGCTCACATGCTCGGTAAGGATAGGTCTGGTAACATGCTCACATGCTCAGTAAGACAAGGTCTGGTAAGGTGTTCACATGCTCGGTAAGGATAGGTCTGGTAACATGCTCACATGCTCAGTAAGACCAGGTCTGGTAAGGTGCTCACATGCTCGATAAAGGTAAGGGTCTGGTCGATACGCATCAACAGGCGGAGTCGCAGGATTCGGAAACGCATGCATATGTACGCGGGTTACCAGAACATGCACGCCTCGTCAAATGCCGGACTGCCCACAACTGGTTGAAATTGGTGTGTTGCAAATGATACAGAAAGATTAAGATCATGCAGTTCAATTTTTGAAATAAAAAAGCTGTCACAAGATCACAGCAAAAACACACCGGATACAAGCAGAGGCAGTGTCACCGGGAACGTGGAAACGCCCCCCCCCCCCGCACCGCCTATCATGGGATAGGAGAGGAATGTCCCTCTTTTCCCAGCAGCCTTTTTGCAGGAGGCAACATATTATTTACACAGATTTTCGGGAAAGGGGTTCCTATTTACAATTTTCGCCATAATGAAGCTTCCTCACATCGGTATAGGATTGCATTGCTACGAATACTGGCATGGTGCTGCTAAGACATCCAAAAGACCGCTCGACGGTATTCGCCATACACTGAAGCATATCCATTATCTTCCGTTACCTTCATGCCTATACAATTGGGTTGGGGGGGGGGGGGGGCGGGGGGCGAATTAGATCATCATCTATTGACTGGTAAGTTATGCATGTTACACTAATGCATATTTACTGTCATATTTTATGACTAATTATTGCTCGTGAGCATTGCACATATTTTGGGCGAAAAGTAAAAAATTACCTTGAATTGCAATACTCGCACTACAATGAATCACTCCTCAGGTACCACTGCTATTTTGTACGCTCTGCGCCAATAACGTCACGTATTTTTACGACGCCCGCTGTCGTTTTTAGAACAGTAGCTTTAGAACGCAAGTTGACACGGCCGTGCAACTTTCGTATATTTTATTGATTGTTGACTTTAAAACATTTTGTGCTTTGGTGCCTTGCATGACGGCATCATTATATAACGTTTGCTTTATCCATTACCGCACTTGTAAAATTTGAGGAAAACATGATGGGCTCTGCTGTTATGATTTTATTTTAGTGCAATATAATTGCACCTTTGAACAATGGTCTTTTCAACAGCTTTGGTGAGATTCACTTTCTATTTGAAATTTAAGCAGGGCCTGATCCCAGCTTGGTGGGGGGGGGGGGGGGCGGAAAACCGTCCGCCTCATTGTTTTCGGGCTTAGCCGAAGGATACTGGAGCTTAGCGACGCGAAGTTTTTACCACCTTTTATGGATTTGATTTTACGCTCGGGAAGTTTCGAATTTCCAAGCAGGTCACTAACTACGACCATGGTTAGGCTTGGTCGAAGTCTAAAAATCATGACCTCATAACTTGGTTAAGTATATCATAATGTTAAGACATTGAGTTTAAAATAAGATATTGTAAAAATATGCAAGCGCATAACATAAAAAGTAATTGCCTTTGAGATAAGGTCACTTGACCTAGGCTACCGTATACAAACAAAATATTCAAGAAAAAGCGGGGACGTAACGAAATATGGCTTCAGGGGGACTATGGGCCCCCTGAGCCAAGAGATTTACGCTAGATAATGGGCGATTTCGAGGGACTTTGGTCCAGCTTCGCAGGATCACGGAGAAAATCTATTTGACAGCTGGTCCCATGAGGAAAATGTTGGCTTCGTGTCTGAGGAAATGGTTCTGCAAAGTTTGCAATGATTGCGTCGTTTCAAATTCACATTCCACTGGACAATTTCGGAAAATCGGCCAATAATTCCATGCACTGTGCTGAGAAGAAATCACGATATACCGAGAAAAGATGTTTCCGCCGGCTCGGAGCGCATGGTGTCGTTCCATGCTGGGAGTGGAGAGGGAAATAGCCATTGCTTCTTTTTATTCAACGCCCACAGAGCCAATGCTAGTTCTTCTGAGTGTTTTAGGTTTCAGTACCTGCCCCACTACCTGGCTTCCGTGCCCCATAGCTTACGATGGTGCAGCGCAGGACGGTTGATGAATTTGCATAGCAATGGTCATTTAGGAAAATACCAGTTATCAAACGCTTGCTTTCTCACTCATCTTTTATTCAGGTAGTGTAATGCGTTAACGACCTCGTCCATCTCACTATCAAAAACTGGTGGTGGCGCCCCTGGACGTAAGATATCTGAAACCCTCTCTCGACGAAGCCGTTTTCACACGCTCACCCGACAAGGAGCGGCTTGATAGGCCCAACGGTATTAACTTTTGAGAAAAAGCAGGTAAAGCGCTGAAACTAAAAAAAGACTCAAACTAACGTACTGTTTTTTGTGGGGGCCATATGATAATAGCCGGTTTTTCCGGTTCCAGTTCGATAAGAGACCTACCAAGTCACCAAAACGACCTTGAAGGGGCCATATAGGAAGTGAGCCGGCAGCCTTCTGCCGAGCCTGTCTCTCGGGCAGCGGCCGAGGACAGCCGGCCTGGGCCTGGACGGCGCTCGGTGCCGTCGAGGCGCCTGCAGTGACCCACTGATAGTGCTGCGGGCTGACACCTGCTGATGACACTGCTGGCTGGTGACGGGCGGCCGGGGTTCCTGTGTTGCAGGCACGCCAGAGTTCGTATCGCCCGAGATCGTCAACTATGAGCCGCTCTGCCTGGGCTGTGACATGTGGGCTGTCGGTGTCATCACATATATCCTGTAAGTACTCTGCAAGCGGTGCTTCCAGTGCGGAACATAACGTAGGCTGCAGCTTCATAGGAGCGCCGTTCACTTTTACATGTTTGACATTCGCATTGTTCTGCGAAATATTTTGATACAAAAGCAAATGTGACATTCTGAATTGTTGGTTGTTTTGGTAATTCTGCCATTGTGCAGGTGTGGTGTAAGGGTACTCTGTATCGCGGACTGATGTCATGTTAAGTCACATGACCACATTCCATGTTTGAGCTACCCACTTAAACTTGATAAACATACTCGTTAAATCACGGAATCAACACAGATGCCAAGGATCGGACATTTTGACCGCACCACTAAAAAGAGCAAAGGATTTCACTCACGTTCGGACCACCGGAAAAGACTCTGCGAACGGGCTTCCTTCTGCTCGCTTGTCGCATCTCCGTCGCTGTTGGGCGGAAAAAAGGTACCGATAGTTCATAACTGTTCCACTACGTGGCGCTGACATCGTTTTAGCTAAGTTTTTGGTTGCTTCTGCTAAGAAACAAACCGGCGGGAGTCTTTTCTCGGAAAATCATCCAGTCAATAGTGGTCGCTATTTCACTTGGCAGGCAGATTGGAACAAACAACTATATCATATTTCGTGCCTTTAAACACCGTCAGAAGTGTTTGTCGATTTGCGTTTGTCCGCCGCAGTTTTGTTTTAAAGAACTGTCTGTCGACGCTTCCCAACGCGTGACGGACGCTTATGTCTCTAAATTTATCCGTGTGTGTCTGCTCTAAATTTGGGTGCGTGTGTCTGCTCTAAATTTAGCTGTGTGTGTCTGCTTTCGACCCTCGCCGTATTTTCTCCAGTCCTGTTATACCCTCATTTTCATATTAACCACTCCATTATTTGCCCCGAAACCGTTCTTTGTTGTATTCCACACGGTGAGTAGTAACATCACCGCCCAGGAATTCGTCCAAATGGTCACTGCCGGCCCCAGAGTCTCTATCCAGACCAAACCTGTCCCCGATCGGCCGAGTGCGTGAACCGAGTCCGCCTGTGTGCCGACAGGCTATCTGGTGCCTCTCCGTTCCTGGGAGATACCCAGCAGGAGACGTTCGCCAACATTGTGGCCTGTGATTATTACTTCGACGAGGAGTACTTCAGTGGCACCTCCGAGTCAGCCAAGGACTTCATCTCGCGTCTCTTTGTCCGAGATCCCAGGTAACGTGTCGCCGGATCTCCGGACGGCCACCACGTGAGATGGCCTGGAATAACTCGCAGCGCTGTCCTGGGTGCTTGCTCCACCCCTTAGTGACGCGGGGCGTGAGGGCGGACCATGTTGAGTGGGGGTGTTGCCTGACAGCAGGTCTGTGCGTGATGCCGATTGGAGTAAGAATGAGCTCCAAAATCAAAAAGCTTTTAATTGAGATAGCGTAAGAGATGGTTCATCTCAAGGCTCAATAGTGTCTCTAGTGTCTCAATAACAGCAAGCACACGGTGCCGGATATCGCTTTCGGCTAGGCCAAAAGTAATATAAAATATTGCAGTTGGGGTTTATACGTGTGTAGCAGCAATTGGCGTAGCTACGTCTTACTGGAATGCATTTTCTACGCATGCTTTTAGCCATGGACTTGTACTCATAGGTCGTTTTGCACGGCGATTCTTTTTTCCAATTTGTTCGCAAATCACATCACACGCAATCAGAACCATCACACGACGACGATACGTACAAATTTGTACGGCTATTTTTGATTATTTTATCGAACCTGACCACTTTGAAGTTAGCTGCTTAATGATATTATATGTGTTGGAGTTAGAATTAAAGTTCGTTTAAATTAAACTCCGCTGTTTGGAGTCGGGCGAGGCCATTTGGTCACCCCGATGCACTCTGATTTGCGCGCGCTAGAAAACTTTCCTTCATGCTACCCGAATACTTTAAAGCCTACGCCTATTACAGAACACTTCTATGCTATCCTTTTAAGACTCGCATTTAAAACGTTACGTACAAAATGGTTGTAACAGTTGCTTTTTTCATTGTCCATGCCTTTTGAACATTAGCACGGAAAACGCCTCAGATTGAACTAAATGCTTGCCATATAGAGTTCTGCGGACCTACGAACAAAATTTGTGGCACAAATACACCTAATCAGCTCATTGGCACCACCAACCAGGACAATATCTACTTAACAGCGGCCTCACACCATTAACACACGCTCAATTTGACTCTCCGCCCCTCCCCAAAGGTTTTTCGGAAACGGTTTCCGAACGGTGCGGTGTAGCCGCGCCAAATTTTGCATAGCTGTAGAAAATAGAATAGCGGATCGTTTGGTACCACAAATTTAGATGTATCTTAAAAGGCTGCTGGCCCACGGCAAGTCAAACCCATGCCATGGATACAGCGAAGTCAATTTTAAGGGAATCGTTCAATCTAATACAACAGTGGAGTGTTGGACGAAGTCATACAACTCTGAGATACTTTCTTAGGCAACACAACAATTAAATGAGCAAATTCCATTGACCAAGGGTCATGTATGGTGGTCAGATCAAGGTGGAAACGAAACTGTCTCATTGCTCTAGGGCTTGCTGCATGGGAAAGGTTCTGGTGCGCATTTCAAATGTAGTGATAACAGGAACCGCCTTATGCATCTTTCATGGACTTCCTAAAGGTCAGAATAGCTTACTGACCTAAAATACCCGGGTCAACATTTTGCTTTTAAGAACATACTGTCTGGTGTAATCTTTGTCGCTCATTCAAATGCAAAACTTAAAGCAGTCTGGTGTGATTTTGGTTACCATGACCTTCGAAAGGTCAGACAAGGTCACTTACCTTAAATGAACATGTGACCTTTTTGGTTAGAACAGGCATCTAGGTTCCGGGAAACTTTGGAGACCAACCTGGAGTATGACCTGGTTTGACCTTATTTGGCCCGAAGTTCAACCTAGGAAGCTTAAAGTCTAACCTAAGTGAGTTCACGTACAGGCCAATACACCCTGTGAATTTGGTGTCGCTAGTTCTCTTAGTTCCTGAGATTTCGATGTGGCCAGATTGGGCCCCACCTGAGTGAAGGGTATCCAGCCGGTCACCCGGGCGCATGTGAAGGATATCCAGCCGGTCACCCGGGCGCATGCGAAGGGTATCCAACCGGTCACCCGGACGCATGTGAAGGGTATCCAACCGGTCACCCGGGCGCATGTGAAGTGTATCCAGCCGGTCACCCGGACGCATGTGAAGGGTATCCAACCGGTCACCCGGACGCATGTGAAGGGTATCCAACCGGTCACCCGGACGCATGTGAAGGGTATCCAACCGGTCACCCGGACGCATGTGAAAGGTATCCAACCGGTCACCCGGGCGCATGTGAAGGACATCCAACCGGTCACCGGGGCTCATGTGAATTATGGCCGGGTCGGCTATAGCTAAGAAATATTGTGCTATTCAATGCTAGAGCATGACCGTCCACTGAATCCGGCTGCTGTCCGGCTGCGGATGCTAACAGCCTGCCACATTATCGCTGTGCCAGCAGTTAGTTTGCTGCATCGTGTTGGTTTGTTTTGTTAGTTTTGCAGCTGGCTAGCCAGCTTGGTCTCTGAGCCTTTCATCTGGTGTCTGCAAAGCATCCGACTGTATTCCATAAGCCAGGGAGAGCAGCGCGTGGATGGGCCTTGGAGGTATGTCCAGCCTGGTCTACGGTATGTGGTCGGGCCAATATGTGTCGCTCCGTCGCTCGCCCTCCGGGCCGGCGTCCACAGCGCCACTGAAGTCCGCTCGGCGGCCCGTCTGCATTATTGCGTAACAGGAAACGGCTTCGTATATTGCATACCAGGACGAGGTCTCAGTAACTGGCAAATGCGCTGCCGTCAGCTTTAGTTACAGTTTGTGGCGACTTCCGTGCCACGTGTTTGAGGAGTTCTTGGTATCAGAATGGACGGGTGATGTTCTCATCACTTATAGAAAGGAGTGCCGCTGTGAATGTGCGCCGGCCAGACAGAAATTCTACACACAAAGGCCCTTTTACTGCATTCATGACCGTCTAAATGTTTGAGGAGTCAGTGAATGTTGGATGTAGATACATTAGCATCGAGTAACGCTAGTGATGTGCCTGGGTTCTTTCCGGTTACTTCGCAAGCGTATGGCTTACATTGGTGTCCGACAATGCCTTTGTTCAAGACACTTTGGAGCCCACGATTGTCATGTGTCCTTCGTGCTCCTAACTTCGGATAATTGTACAGGACACAACGGGGAGTAACGTTGTCAAGACTGGGCGTGTCACTCGTGGCCCGATGACAAGGGCTTGGCGTGTAACCCGTGGCCAGATGATAAGGGGTCGCCCGCCACGGTCATCGGGCACTACCTCCCGCTGGCTTACGTCGCCTTCGACTCGATCGCGTCAGGTCGGGCTTAGTCGATACCGAGGCGACGGGGGCGCGGTGGTGGGGTCCGGACCTCGCGCAGCGCGGCTGTGGTATCCGCGGGTCTGTGGCTCACAGCGGCAGCGGTTTGTCACTCTCGTGCTGTGCGCGTGGGAAGGACTTGTGACAGAGGACGCAGCGCGGGCAGAGGGCCGACGTGGCCGCTCAGTGGTGAGCGCAGCTGCACCAGGTGGCCAGGGCATTGTACGGACATTGTGGCTGGAACGTCACGTGTGACCGGCTGCGTGCTGTGCAGCTGACTGACGGCTGGCGGCAAGGGACCCCTCCTGCGTGCTGTGCAGCTGACTGACGGCTGGCGGCAAGGGACCCCTCCTGCGTGCTGTGCAGCTGACTGAGGGCTGGCGGCAAGGGACCCCTCCTGCGTGCTGTGCAGCTGACTGACGGCTGGCGGCAAGGGACCCCTCACATTCCACGCAGTCTGCTATGAAAAAAACCCCACTGCTCTCTGGTTGGACCCCGTTACGACCAGGCTTTTATTAACAATTTAGCAATATGACAATTTTATTAACAATTTAGAAGTGATTCTGCTTTTTTGCGTGCTCGCACCATGCTGATTTTAATTTCCACGTGAACAGACTATCACCATGTTTAGTCATGTCATGTGTGTTGCGCCGCAATGCAATATCAACTAACAAAACAAATGCACGCGATTGTGAACTTGGCTGTTTATGCTAAACCCTTTCCAGCACGCGCCGTAGTGCATACAAGAAGTGATTTCACCTGTTGATAAGGACTCACGGAAAGAAGTAGTGCACGTACATGCTGTCAACATAAGATACCCTATATTCATACTCTATATTCAACCAATTCGTTTTTTGAGCAGCTAGCTGCTCTGCTCGTTTTGGGTAGCATTTGTGCATAGTTCGGCTGTGCCCTGCGTGCGACGGCAAAATGTTGACACATGCACGCCATGGGCATAAAGGTCTGAGGGAGAGAGCAAGAGATCAATCTCTGCAAGAGAGAGCTTGTCCTCCTTTCCTTGCACATGCCCGCGGAGACGTTCTCAGGCGTCGTAAGTGACTGCCTGCTACGGTCGGTGCTGGATGTGCCGGTGCCGGTCCAGACCACCTAAATCAGCTAGAGGTTCTCAGACGCCTCATCTCAGCCGGATGCCGCGGCCGTGACGTACTGTACACGTGATAGCCTGGTGCCGCGGCCGTGACGTACTGTACACGTGACAGCCTGGTGCCACGGCCGTGACGTACTGTACACGTGACAGCCTGGTGGGTGCCGCGGCCGTGACGTACTGTACACGTGACAGCCTGGTGCCACGGCCGTGATGTACTGTACACGTGACAGCCTGGTGCCGCGGCCGTGACGTACTGTACACGTGACAGCCTGGTGCCGCGGCCGTGACGTGCTGTACACGTGACAGCCTGGTGCCACGGCCGTGACGTACTGTACACGTGACAGCCTGGTGCCGCGGCCGTGACGCACTGTACACGTGACAGCCTGGTGCCACGGCCGTGACGTACTGTACACGTGACAGCCTGGTGGGTGCCGCGGCCGTAACGTACTGTACACGTGACAGCCTGGTGCCACGGCCGTGATGTACTGTACACGTGACAGCCTGGTGCCGCGGCCGTGACGTACTGTACACGTGACAGCCTGGTGCCACGGCCGTGATGTACTGTACACGTGACAGCCTGGTGCCGCGGCCGTGACGTACTGTACACGTGACAGCCTGGCGCCACGGCTGTGACGCGCTGTACACGTGACAGCCTGGTGCCGCGGCCGTGACGCGCTGTACACGTGACAGCCTGGTGCCGCGGCCGTGACGCGCTGTACACGTGACAGCCTGGTGCCGCGGCCGTGACGCGCTGTACACGTGACAGCCTGGTGCCGCGGCCGTGACGTACTGTACACGTGACAGCCTGGTGCCGAGGGCGTCTCATCCTGTCGCCCCGCGCTATATCGATGACGCTTGTCCGTGTCACTGAGCCCTGGAAAGTCGTCCGAAAAATGCAGTGGGCATTTTAGTGATTTATCGATCCGCTTCCACTGGTTGCGCACTTCAGTCCGCTTTGCCCTTAATGAAGCTAAGTGGTTTTGGTGCTTACCCATGAGAGAAACGTGACACTTCCCGGATTTCAGTTTTTTCAGATTTTAGCATGATTTACAATCACACCCGGCTTAGCGCTCCGCCCCCTCCTTCCCCTCGTTACACTTCATTTACGCTACATCAAAACCCCATCCCCTCTTGGTGTGACGTAATTAAGGGACGGACCAGCTGCAGGCCGCATTCTTTAAAGCCGTAGCGCGGGGGCTGATGCATCGGCTGTCCGGAGCTGGCGGTACTCGGCAATGGATGTACTCGGCCCCACCGCTGTCCGGGTCTGGGTCTTGACACGCTATCGACTCGCCCCGGTGTGGCCGCGCTGCGCGGGAAATAGGTCATTATTGAATCAGTCCCGGCGCCCGCCACACCATGGTCAACTGAGTCAGGCTGCTCGCCGGCAGCTCCGGCGCCATCCGTGCGTTGTTGACCGCCACCGGCGCAGCGGCGCCCCGGCTGTGCCCGACGTCCGGCTGGGCGTTCGGCGTCTCATCGGCGCCGCCGTGTCGCCCGACACCGCCGCCCGCCCCCGCCCGCGGGTCGCCGGTCAGGGCCGCTGGTCGATGTCGAAGAGGCGCGGCCTTTCGGTGCCCTCGCGCGCGGCCGCCGAATCAATGGCACACGACGGCGAGCCGGCGGCCGTCTGACCGACACTGCGCCTCCGTCTGTCCACAGAGGCAGAGCTGACGTCCGCGAGTGTCTGCGCCATCCCTGGATAGAGGTGAGCTCCGCCCTCTATCGGCTCCTCACCCGGGCCGAGAGGTACAGACTGACGACACTGCTGAGAGCCGCCCGCTCCCCTGATTTCAGCTCACCCTTGCCGGCAACTACTGGAGTGATATGAAAAGAGCCCGGAATATGTGTCACTATTCTCAGAGTGTCCGGGTATTGCAGGCTCGATGGGCGTCGAAGCCTGTGCTGTATAGCTCGGTTAACGGTCAGCACTCGTGTCGTGCGCCCCGCCAATTGCTGGCGAGTTAAATGGTGTACGTGTACGTGTAAATGGTAAATGGTGTACGGTCAGATGTGCTTTTCGCCCAAGTGTTTGGTTTTCTCCATTGACGATTCGCCACGCGGGCTAACCAATAGTCACGAGAAGTCAAAGCACATGGCTCCCCGAAATGTAGAACTCGAAGGCTTGTTTCCACTTTTAATGTGCTTGGATTTGGTGATAGTAACCGTAACTAAGAGATGCTGTGACATTTCATGTGCTCGTTTCTGCCATCTGAATAATGCACTGCATCGCAAAGCGCTTATTTTTGGCACCGGCCCGCTTAGTACGGATCCGAGGGACTGCAGCACCTCGTCAGTCTCCTCAGATCCGATACCTTCGGCGCGTTCAACCACGAGCACAGCTTCAGAGCATTGGCTGGCGGATGGTGGTGGGATGACCTCGGAGGGAACACCGCCAGCCCCAGTCCCAGAGCGCGGAGGCCTCGCACGCCCGAGTGCTCAGTAGGCGGGCGGCTCCCCGCGGCGCGGCACACATACGCCGTCCTCGGAGCGGGGTGCAAGCTGCCTGGCTAGCGCGCCGCCGGCCGCAGTCGGTACCCACCGGCGGCGGCCGGGGCGGCGGTCAGGCGCACCGTCCAGGCCGTATCGATCGGCGGCGTGCCAGCCGCTTGCACCGCCTGACCCGATCAAACGGCGAGTCGACAGTCGCCGCTGGCAGCGTCCCTTGCCGCCTCAGTTAATCGGCCAGCCTGAGCGACGCTCTGTTATATTTGAGTCGGGCCCCTCTAATGCATTCCGGCGACGGGAAATGGGCGGAGGTCGCCCGGGGGGATTTCAGAAGTTGGCTGCATGCCGGATATCGCATCTCACACTGGTTTGCATCGCCAACGAGTGACGCCAACGGGTCTCTTCCGGCAACGTCGCCGGTGCGACGGTACGTGTCGACGATGATGGCGTGACCCGTGCAGTGTTCGCGGTACGCTGCTCACTCCATAACATAGCTGCGGCCCAGCGGGGCGTGGCAAGCGATCGGACGATTTTCCGCATGGCCGAGGAGGCGTCCCGGCTGCTGACGCTTCGGCTGCCCCGTGTCCGGTAGCCCCGCGGGAAGGAGGAGAAGCAGGAGCAGAACGACAAGGAAGTGAACATCGACAACCTGAAGACGTACCAGGCTCGGCGACGCTGGAAGGTGAGTAGACGTACCAGGCTCGGCGACGCTGGAAGGTGGGTAGACGTACCAGGCTCGGCGACGCTGGAAGGTGGGTAGACGTACCAGGCTCGACGACGCTGGAAGGTGGTTGGATGCGCGGCAGGCGGGACGTGTGGCCGGATGAGCTGGATGTTGACGCGTGATGTGTGTCAGTTTCTGGTACGACGCTCTGTGGCCGCGCCGCGATCGCCGCCGGGGCTTAGCTACCTAGAGGTAATGTCCGTGTTCTCCGGAACATCGGTCGTATTTGCCTTGCGCTGGCCTTCCTCTTGTCGTTTGCCACCTTGCTGTTACTGCGGCCACGGAAAGTATTTGACGCGAAGGTCGCGAGGCTTAGTTTTCTTTTCTAAATGTCACCTCATCTCCAGACATGGGTCTAAACAAAACACGCCGGGGTGAGGGCGAGTGCCCCTGCCTCTGAGCTGATGCGGACGGTTCCCATCTCTGAGCTGCTGTCCGCGGTTGACTCATCTGAGCTGATGTGGGCGGTTTCTGACTCTGTACTGGTGTGGGCGGCTCTTGTCTCTGAACTGAGGTGGGTGGCTTCTGCCTCCAAACTGGTGTGGGCGCCTCCTGTCTCTGAACTGAGGTGGGCGCCTCCTGTCTCTGAACTGAGTTGGGCGGCTCCTGCCTCCAAACTGATGTGGGCGCCTCATGTCTCTGAACTGAGGTGGGCGGCTCCTGCCTCCAAACTGAGGTGGGCGCCTCCTGTCTCTGAACTGAGGTGGGCGGCTCTTGCCTCCAAACTGATGTGGGCGCCTCCTGTCTCTGAACTGAGGTGGGCGGCTCCTATCTCTGAACTAAGGCGGGCGGCTCCTGCCCCCAAACTGAGGCGGGCGCCTCCTGTCTCTGAACTGAGGTGGGCGGCTCCCGCCTCCAAACTGAGGCGGGTGCCTCCTGTCTCTGAACTGATGTGGGCGCCTCCTATCTCTGAACTGATGTGGGCGCCTCCTGTCTCTGAACTGAGGTGGGCGGCTCCTGCCTCCAAACTGATGTCGGCGGCTCCTGTCTCTGAACTGAGGCGGGCGGGTCCTGCCTCCAAACAGATGTGGGCGCCTCCTGTCTCTGAACTGAGGTGGGCGGCTCCTGCCGCTGAGCCGGAGGCGTCACTTTATATATTTTCGGTGGGGCTGGACCCCTTAATGCTCGTCGTAGCCCCCTCAATGCATTTAAACAAATAGGGAATACTGGACCGAATATTTACAGAACAATTATCTTAACCTTTGGTATACCAGCTCGTAGGTACCTAGACGTATTACTGTTAGTATCACGTTAATTTTGTACCGAATAGTATGCTGTAGGCACCTAAAATTTGTGTCATACTTACCCCTTTATATGTTAAGCCAATCTACTAATTTTCGACTGTTTTTTCCAAATGATAAGGGCTGGGTTGGTATGAAAACCATTGATTGCAATACGCAGCAATTTTCAGAGGTACACGGCGGCCCAGATAAAGGATAACGTAGCCTTTCTTCAGCAGTGGCAAGTGCATTTGTCGCAAAACCGTGGCTGTACTGGCTGTAAAATATGATTAGCGACAGCGGTAGTGAGCAGAGATGCCCTTATAAGATTTACGACGATATATTCCTGTAATTACACCCCTTCTAAGCTTCTTCTTCAAAAGGCAGCTCACATTATCTTGAAATAGGAGGCTAGCCGTCAACAGGAAAAACAAGTATGATTTTACAAAATATCAAAAGGACTTTTCTTTAATTCGAATATAGGAGACGCAAATTCAAGGGGAAAAATCCAGGGAGAAATCAAATTTTGGAGGTAGGTTGTGGCAATCTTTCTGGCTGAGCCCGCCCCCCCCCCCCCCCGCCCCTCTTCAACACAATTTTAGAAAGTGACACCCCTGCGCTGAGCTGATGTGGGCGGCTGCCGCCTCTGAGAGGATATGACCGGCTGACGTTTCTAAGCTGATGTGGGTGGCTGCCGCCTCTGAGAGGATATGACCGGCTGACGCTTCTAGGCTGATGTGGCTGGCTGACGCCTCTGAGAGGATATGACCGGCTGACGTTTCTAAGCTGATGTGGCTGGCTGACGCCTCCGAGAGGATATGACCGGCTGACGCTTCTAGCTGACGTGGCTGGCTGACGCCTCTGAGTCGAGGTGAACGGCTCCTGCCTCTGAGCTCATGTTGGCAGCTCCTGCCTGTGATCTGATGGCGGCTCCCGTCTCTGAGCTGATGTGAGTGGTTCAGGTTTGGATTTCTTACCGCTCTGTCAACCAGCTATAAACATGGCATGATGTTATGTAGTTAGGTCATGTCCCGAATTTGTGAGAGGGGTTTCGTTATCATGGAGGCGTGACATTTGGACGCGTATGGCTTAAGTATGAAGGGCGGAACCCATACGTTCCAGCCTCCCCAGGTGCAGACCGGATCCATGTCAACACACTTCTTTTATCCATCGTCAGCAGCCGACGACCAGCGCCGAGTTCATTATCGGAATGACGTGACTGACGTCATCCGAGTCGGCCGGGACGGTGCGGACCGGTGCGGCCGACACCGCCTCTGGCATGGGCCGGGCATAAGTGCCGGACGGAAGTGACCTGTGCGGCGGCGTGGACCGCGCTGAGCGGGGCCGCCGTCCGAGGCGGCTCGGCGCGTGTCGGCCTAGTATCGACCTGTTGGTGCCACCGACGGAGCACCCACAGGTGCGGCGCGCGGGCCGCCGGGCGCCGGCCCAGCCGCCGCCCGTGGCTTCTGTTGCCGGCCAGGCGGGACGTGGATCATTGGACACCTGGTCGTTGGCTGAAGATTTATTCGGCGGGGTCACACTTGCACAAGCCCGCTCACGTGACTGGAAAGCAAGACCGATGATGCACATAAAGAAGGCGCAAAGGTTGGCCAAGTGCACAGAATGCAAATGAGCTTCTGCAACGAGCTGAGCATGGTTGTAGGCGCTTTAAAGCTACCAAGTTTAATCTTTAGGCAATAACGACTGCAACGCAAGAAAATAACTGCCATTTTTCTATCACGGACCCCTATAGGACCTAAGGACCCCCTATAATCTAATGAAACTTGTCAATAAGTTTAAGATTAGGTGTGAACAGTAAACCCAATACTGTAATTAGGCGTGGACAATTTTTAAAATCTAGCACTTCCAGCACGGGGAACTAGCTCTTTTTGCTTCCGCAGGCATTTTAAAGGGATTCCACTTCAAGGCTTCAACGTGTGACTCGTTTACGGTAATGCCGTCCTCCTCCAGCGGTGCGCGTGCCATTTTCAGTGCGTCCTGTCGCATGTTGGTGGTGTTGTTGTCACGTTCGCCTATCCCACATTGGTCACGGCCTGATGTCGAGCCTGATGGAAGGACGAAAATGTTGCACTTGCGACGGAATCTGGTAAATAAATCAGTAGTAATCCAGATATATAGTCAAGTAAATAATCGTTATCAGTTCGTTGGCACAGTGGACAAACGTGCCCTTGCCCCATCTGGTCCTCGAATCAGCGAAATCCAAGTCGCCGTATTGCCGGATCTCGTCTGTGATGAGGTTTGTGCTACAACGGAACCCAGGCGTGCGAACAGACTACGGCTCGTCTGTTGACAGCACTTGATATGCCTTGATCAGGGTCCTTAACGCGAATTATTGCTGAATAGACTTAATAGACAACCAGCCCAGCCCTTTCAGCACGTGGGGATCTATTGAAACTTTCGCCGTTCGGGCACGACGCCGCCGGTGAAGCTCGCTTGTTTATGGAGCAACTGTCATATTGTACCGTTCGCGGTGTTTGCCGAACGCCGCACAACAATATCACACATGTGGCAGAGCCAGCGCATCATTATCGCGGAGAGCGCCAAATAACGCCAGTGGGTAATGAATGCGACCTTTCTGAACTCCAGGAAAATACCGCCAGTGGCAGTATTTGGATTATAGTGATGGTCCCGGATGTGTGATGCCTACCTTGGTTGGTCCACTCCTGCTTCCTTCCGCTAAGATCACAAGTAAACCGAGATTTATTGACCTTGACGGTCCCGCCAGGTCATTTCACGCGGTGATGACGGGTTGTTTGTCCGTTATCACCCATGCTTTGCTGGGACGATGGCACAGTTGGGCGCCCATTATTATACAAAGTTCGCAGAACAGGTTTTCATCGCTTTGGGTGGGGAAGAGTAGGCTCATTCTGTTAGCATCCTTGATATCCTTTGTTTACGCAGATGCCCTGTGAATGCGCTGAGAAGCAGACTGAGAGCCAGTGTTCAGCCCTGTGCGTTTCGCCCCCGCGACGTCGTTACCTGGTGTCCAGTGCCGGTTGCTCGGGATTCTCCTTTCTCCTCAGTTTATGACTCGGTGTAGAGCTCCACTTTGCTCCGGCCGGTCGTGCCTCTGCCGTGAGGTCATGGCCCGGTGCCCAGGTCCTCTTCGCTCCGACCGGTCATAACCTTATCGTGAGGTCATGTTCCGACGCCCAGTTCGGCTCGGCTCCGACCGGTCGTGACTCTGCCGTAAGGTCATGACCCGGTGCCCAGCTCGTCTCGGCTCCGTCCTCGTCCCCAAGGTCATGACCTGGTCCCTAGCTTGGAGCACCGCCTCCAATCGATGCTGGCGGACGCGGCTGCAGTGCAGCGCGGCGCCAGTGCAGGGCCGTGCCCCCGGTCGTAGCCGCCGCCGGCCGGCCCCGCTGGTCAATACGGCTCCGGACCGGGGCCGGGCCGAGCTGCGGGCGTCACGCACCGGTGCCGCCGCGCTCCGACCGGCGCGTGTCAAGGAACGGATAATGATCGGAGCAACGAGACGGGGCCGCTCCTTTCCGGGTAGGGACACTTGACCTCCGTTGTGGTGGAGCGCAAGCTTAGGGATCTGTCTTAAAACTCGTCGGGGGACGTCTCCCTTGTCCCGTTTAGTGCTCCAGGAATGCCCTGTGGTGAGTCACTGGGATCGCCTGCGCCGTGCAGCCAGCGCTGTCAGACATCATAACACGTGTAACTAGCGGGCAGAGCAGCACTTAGGTACTGGCTTCCGCCTGCCAACAGGACTTGAGCCTCCTCTTCACCTCTCCGGCCGTCTTGTCGGCCAACGACCGGGGTCTTGTGTTAGCGTAAACGCTTTTCAGTGTCGCGTTTGAGCACTCCGCGATGGCCGTGTTTCGTCAGAAGTGGTCCCTTACATGCCGCGTCCCCCGCGTGGCACCCGTGTTTGAGCACTCCGCGCTGGCCGTGTTCCCTCAGAAGAAGTCCCTTACATGCCGCGTCCCCCCGTGGTACCCGTGTTTGAGCACTCCGCGCTGGCCGTGTTCCGTTAGAAGTGGTCCCCTACATGCTGCGTCCCCCCCCCCGTGGTACCCGTGTTTGAGTACTCTGCGCTGGCCGTGTTCAGTCAGAAGTGGTCCCTTACACGCCGCGTCCCCCCCCCCCCCCGTGGTACCCGTGTTTGAGCACTCCGCGCTGGCCGTGCTCCATCAGAAGTGGTCCCTTACATGCCGCGTCCCTTCGTGCTACCCGTGTTCCCGAGCCGGCTGCGATCAGCGGTTCTTGTCTGTAACTCACTGGCTCACATTGGGGCTGCGATCATCGGTTCTTGTCTGTAACTCACTGGCTCACATTGGCAGCACTCTCTTTGGACCTTACCAGTATAGCCATTACAAAATGTATTTGTATGCTGTATGTGCCATTTCTCTATAATTACATGCTCCTTGCAGGCAGAACCCTGCATGTGTTATCACTCGCTGTGATATCATGGGGATATCATGTGTGATATCGTGGTGAAAGCGTCGCTTCCGTTGCCAGCACTCGCTGCGGGTGGTGTCGCTGTGCAACCGGCTGTCTCGGAGCGCCAAGCTGCGCAGCCGGAGCCAGAGTATGGAGATGCTGGACGAGCGGGAGGAGCAGC